TCCTCCTCCTCCTCCTCTTCTTCTTCTTCTTCTTCTTCTTCTTCTTCTTCTTCTTCTTCTTCTTCTTCTTCTTCCTTTTCTTTCTTTCTCTCTCTCATCCACCTATGAGAAAACACATGTGACATTTGTCTGTCTGAGTCTGGTTTATTTTTTTTAACCCGATGATCTTCAATTCCATCCATGTTTCTGCAAATGACATGATTTCATTCTTCTTTATGGCTGATTCTTCTTCTAATGGCCATTCTTCTTTCGATAGGCATCTATGCTGATTCTATGGCTTAGTTATTGTGAATTGGGCCACAATAAACACAGATATGTAAGTGTCTCTATAGCATGAGTGTTTAAACTTTTGGCTTTCCTGGGTGGCACTGAGTGAAGAATTATCTTGGGTTGCATATAACATATTGTATAATTAATGTATAGAAGTACCAAAACAAAAACTATCTCACTGAAAATCACATAATGTTAAAAGTTATCATTTCTAGCTGTCCAGGGCTGCTTGTAGCCCATGGCTGAGGGTGAGACATGCCTACTCTAATCCTTCCAGGGATATTCCAAGGAATGGTATAGCTGGATCAAACAATATCTCTATTTTCAGTTTGTTGAGGAACATCCATGATTTCCATACTGGCTGTACTATGCCTCCTGCAAGCACATTCAAGTATTTTTACCCCCTGCATTTGCTATTCTGCACTTACTAGCCACAATGGCTAACATTTGAAAAACTGTCCAAAATAAGTACTCCAATAAGCAACAAAGTGCAAACACCTGCCAATGATAGTAACATGAGGATTAAGATGAGCATGACTGTGCTGCACTGTCTTGCTTGCCCTTGTTGCTCATCACCTTTGTCTTTGCATGTCTTTGTTCTTATCTTTGAAGATTTGTAAGTTTTGGAGTACTTGTGTAAAAACATTTCAATGCTAAATCTTATTTGAGTGAAGCAAAGAGAGCCTTTTCAATTCTAGTCTTCTTCTGTCCCAGGTTAGCTTTCAAGTAATTAGCCCCAGGCTATTTCCTTAATTAATTCTCTTTTCTCCAAATTCAGTGCTTCAACTTTTAATATGTACTTTTTTTTGTTTTTCTCTGCAGTTCTGTGGATTGAACCCAGGACTTTGAGCATGCTAAGCAAGCAGTCTACCACTTAGCTATATCAGCAGCCCATCAGTGCCTCAACATTTAAATTATTTTCCTCTGGACTTCTAACTCACAGACTCTTCCCTCTTATGTCCCTTCTGCAAAAGACATGATTTCCTCGGAAGATCTATGGCATCATGTGTGATCACTCTCCTTCAAGAGCTCTTTAATAGAAATCATACCCTAATGATTGTGTGTTATGTCAATAATGATGTCACTTCCAGAAGATAATTACACCAGCTGTTATGGCTTGTATTTAGATGTCTCCTCAAAGTCTCATGGGGTCATAGGTAGGGAGTTTTGAAAGTGGCTGGATTAGGATGTATGATGCTGGGATTAAGAGTGTGATGTTGGGATTAAGGTGCCTTGCCCTGGGTGTGGGTGGCATGACCCAAAAGGTGGGTAGCCTGGATGGAATATAAAGGGACAGAAAGAAGCTGCTCTGTTACTTGACTGCTGCTTCTGCTGCTTACTGCTTTACTGCTTCCTGTCTGCTTGCTATAGACTGTTTCTCCTCTGCAGTGCCCCTCTGCCATGCCACCCTGTCTTGGAGCCACCTGACTATGGACTAAAACCTCTACAACTGTGAGCCAAACTAAATCTTTCCTCCTTTAACTTTGAATGGTGGGTATTTTGTCTCAGCAATGAGAGAAGTTACTAAGACACAAACATTTCTTGGGGTATTTTTTTTTGTATAATCAAACTGTATGATAGAGGAGGGGTTGACAAACAATATCTTTCAGGTCCAATTCTGTCAGGTGCCTGATTTTGTAAGTAAAGTTTTTTTTGAACACTGCCATACCCATTTGCTTCCATATTTTCTATTACTATTTTTCTGCTGCAAGGGAAGAGCTGAATAATTTTGCTAGACATGTAGACTGCAGGGCCTGAAATATTTACTATCTGGCCCTTTATAGAAAACATTTGTTGACATGTGTGATAGAGCATAATTCCTTTGGAATTTTCTAAGAAAACTGATTTGTTTTTGTTTGTTTTAAAGATACTAATTTTGTTATGGATCACAAAAGACTGAACAAATTACAGCTTTTTACTCTCATGGATAAATAGAGGAATACACTGTAATAAAACATTGAATGTGTATGAATAAAGCAATCCTTCCATGTACTATGTTCCAACCCTTTGCTTTTACTGCTGATTTGAATTTTGTAATTTAATGAGTGAGTAAAAGCCCCAGAGCTAAGATGAAAATACAAGGAATAAATATGTCACAAAAGGAAGTTATAGATTATGGTGGCCAAAATTATGTCAAATTTAGTTCCTCTGTCTCTGCTTTAAAGACCTGGTTTTGGTTAACATAATATGGAAACACAAAGGAAACTTCTCGGAAATCTCTGGACCATTTAAAAGGAAATGTCTACCTTTTGCCTTCATTAGATCATGCTGGACCGATACATGAAATCACTTGGCTGAGCATATCCAGCATTAGCTAGGTAATATATGAGCAATCTAGGCTTTTAATCACTATTTGTGAGCATATTACTGTATTTTTAAAAAATTGAATGGCTAGATGTTTCAAAAGCCTTAATAATAATCCAGAAACCCGAGACAAATATATCCCTAATGAAATAATCTAAAGTGGATGTACAAATTTATTTGCAAAGACATTTATTACAGTTTTACTTCCAACACAACATTGGAAATTATGTATATATTAATTATAGGAGATTAAATGTAGTGTAATAAAGGGAACTAAACATGCACAATATTGAGGGGGAAAACAAACTACAAATAATCTTAGTTTTGTTTTATTTAAATATATATGTGTATATAAAGTATGTATATAAAAGTCCAAAAGACATACAATGATGGCACTTGGGAGGCTGAGGCAGGAGGATCATTGTGAGTTTGAGGCCAGCCTGGGCTATATAGTGAGTTCAAGGTCAACCTGAACTACATGGTGAGACTCTGTCTCAAAAACTAAAACAGGAAAAAGAAAAGCAATGATGATGATAATTGAAACATGGATTCATAGATCATTCTGTTTTGTTCTTTTCATGATGGAAAATTGGGAAAATATGAAAACAATCTCCAATTTCTGTGATTGGAATAAAATAGCAAATACTATTTTTTTTAATTTTTATTTTTATTAGAAATGTTTTCAGTACATAATGATTACATTCCTTATGGGGAGCTCATACATGCACATAACACATCTTAATTTTAGTTTTATCCCCTTCCCTTCCTTCCCAACCCTTTCCCTCATCTCTTGGTCCTCTTCCCTTTTGCAACACAAATATTATTTGATTTGATTGATTAATCTTCAATTAATCACATGTTTATCTTACGTGACTGAAAAAAAATAAAGAGGCTTTTATTGATTGTCATGGAATTTATTTTGCTGGCTGAATTCACAGAGTTAAATGAGTGTTTGTAATAATGTGGGCATACCCATGGCTTTCTTTGGGTTGTACGTGCTGGGGATGAACCCAAGGATTCATGCCTGCTAAGTACTGGTTCTACTACTGAGCTGCACCCTCAGCTGTAGGCATGATTTTAATTTCTCTGTTTCTTTTAATTGGTATAGATTCTAAGATGGGATCTACTCTGTATCTCTTTCCATTTTTTCAACCAACATAAATATTTTTCCATAACTAAAGAATTAGAGCATTTACTTAGCACATATGAAGTCCTAGGCTTGATCCTCAGCACTAAAAAACAAAAACAAAAGCAGCAAGTATAACAACAAGGTTACTACATACTTCTTTTGAGTGTTGTTTTTATAAAAGATGCTGCCACAGCAAGTGTGTGTTTAAATCCAGGAAACGACCCATTTCCCTGACCACAGACGTTGAGTCAGTTTCCATAAAGAGTTTTGTCATTCAGATTGTTAGTCCTACAGATTAGCAGACTATTTGCTCCCTAGCCTTATGACTTACGTTGCTAGAACAGAAGAGAAATTACACTATTGTGACCAAAAACACCTGGCTCCCTTCTATAACTACAGCCAAGATCTTGGAAGATCTGGGATAAATATGGCTTTTCATCATTGGCAGACTAGAAACTTCATTTTCTATTTCCTTCTCTTGAGTTACATAGCCTTCCCTTCAAACATTACTGATAAAGTTATTTAGAATTGTATCAAATGGTTTCTATAATCCAGCTGCAGAATTGATTTCCTTCTAATAAAAGATTACAGAAGTTATGTGAAATCAAAATGTAAACAGAATCGTCTTCTAGCAACTGTGAAAGAAAGTATTTTCAACAACAGGTGGTAAAGCAGATTGTATTGCAGGAAGTCTTAATAATCACTAAGAAAGGGATAATCTTAGCTTTGGCTATAAAGTTAACCAGAAACATTGTGCATTGACACAAAGTTATCTACATTATCAGTCCTGCCAGAAGTCCAAAGAAAACTTAGGCTTTATTGAAGAACTTGTCAACATTTATGAAAATCTCAAAATTTGGTCTGTGTGGCTGCAACTGAAGTTCTTTTCTCATTTACATTGAAAAAAATAAATCAGTAACCATAAGTTGATTTGTGTTGGGAAAGGTTTAAAATGAACATTAATGGACTTAGTTTCTAAAATGCTTGCATGTTTCAAATACTGTATTTCCAAGCTTTCCCCAAGGGTTCATGGACATTTTAAGATTCTCCTATAATTCAAGACATTTTTATTTTCATTTATATTACTTTCAGTAAGAATTTCACAGAGGAAAGCAAATATTAATGTAACAGTTCAAGGTGAGAGAGAAAGCATGTGGTATTTAATTTTAATAGACATGGTTACTAGTTCAATGTTTTTACCACGTTTTGCACCTTGTATAAATCCTTACTAATAACACATTTGGTTTCCAAAGCATGGAAATTGAATAGAGTTGTTTCCTTGACAAATATTCAAATTTTGCTTGTTGTATGCTAATACACATTTGAGCTTTCCAGTTAATCTTGGTTAACTCAAGAGGTATGACATTCTGAGCATCAAGTTTATCAATCCTTGGGTTAATAATTCTTCAGTATAGCACATTTGCGGTGTCATCCATGAGGCTCTCTGCATTGTTTGATGGTGATCATGATAGAGACAGTTTGCCCTCTCTATATGGAATGTCATGTTGATATTCACAAGTATTCGCTGATGTTGACATCTGTCTGGTGACATCTGGCCTCTTATTAATGTGAACTTCACTTCTTTTTGATGGTCCTGGGGATCAAATCCAGGGTTTTGAACACACTAGGCAAACATTCTACCACTGAGCTACTCCCCCAGCCCTGACCTTCACATTTTTTATCAACCACAAACATGTTAAGGTGACCATGTGAAGGAGATTTTGTAAATGCCAGGCATTTTTGCCCCAAAACATTCTAAACATCTTCCTCTCCCCATCTTACTGTTTTTTTTTAATTTTTTTTTTTTTTTAGCTTCAAATGTCATCAAACTTTGATGTATTGGAAGGAACTTATATCAGAAAAAATCGAGATTTGAGCTAGGAGCTACAACATGTGCCTGTTGTGCCAGCTAATTCAAAGGCTGAAGCAGGAAGATCAACTGAGTCCAGGAATTGGAGGCCATTCTGGGCAACATAGTAAGACTCCACCTTAGAAAACAAAATCAAAAGCAAGCTTTGAAGTTTGACATCTAAAGTTTCAGTTCTTAGCTCTGCCACTTTTTGTCCGTCTCACATAGGAAGATTCACAATCATAAGAGATTTTCAGTGGCACCATGAGAAAGGGTAGTTAGGTAACCCAAACAGTGAAAATTGATTTCGCTGCTCCTCAAGCAAGCGCAAAGACCCAAGTTTGATCCCTGGTACCAAAAAAAAGAAAAAGAAAAGAAAATTTATTTCAGTGGTTACTGTCCTAGATCTCAAGCTGGATCAAAAGTCTCTAGTCATACTGAGCATGGTGGTGCATGAATGTAATCACAGATAACTTGGGAGACTGAGAGGTGGGAGGAGTGAAAGTTCAAGGCAAGCCTGGGAACAAAAGACACCATCTGAAAAAAGGTCTCTAATAGTATCCTTGAGATAATATTTTACTTCTTTTTTTTTTTGGTATGAGGGATTGAACTCAGGACCTTGCACTTGTGAGCCAGGCCCCAGAACCACTGAGCTAAATCCCTGGCCCAACATTTTACTTCTTAATAGGCAAACATCTTTCAACCCCGGGAACATTTAAATTTAAATCCAGAAAAGTTTAAAATAATCCAATTATACCCTAAATATTTTTGTATCAAGGAAGAATCTGTATGTTAATAGTTCTCAGTGAAAATGTTCCTAATCAATTGAATTTGTTCAAATTTATTACATAGAATCTATTCTTTTCTCTTAAATTAAAATATATTTTGCTGGGGATTTAGCTCAGTGGTTCCACCGCCTGCCTCGCAAGTGCAAGGTCCAGAGTTCAATCCCTGGTACCCCCCAAAAAATTAAAATACATTTTAAATGAAATTCCTTTCTTTATTCATCCATATACATATGCAACAAACATTCGCTGGGGATTAGGTGTTCTGGGTGATTTCCTGGGGATGCAAGTGCTTATCAGTGAGATCAGGTTGCTGCTCTTGGGGGGCTTACTTTCTAGTGAAATTAGACAGCAAACAGATAAGAGCATTTCGGACCGTGATGGTGCTCTAAAGAAACTAGTGTTAATTGGATGGTAATTTGGGGAAGTTTAATTTATGTGGAAAAGTGGGGAGCAGCTTAATCTAACGCAGAATCCTCTTGCTGTGCAGAGGGAAAAGTAGTGAGTACATAACCCATAGTTTCTGAATGTATTTCTAATATTTCAATTTGAAGACTTTAAAATATTTGATCTTATAATTCAAAAATGCATAAACAATTTAAAGTATATAATTCTTTATGTACTAAATCTGAACTGTGATATAACTCTAATTTATATATTCCCTTCTTGGGTCATTTAAACTTTCCTAAATTTTATTTCATTTTTACCAGTTTGTAGTTTTTTGTAGTTCCTATTAAAGTTTTTTTGCTAGCTTTGAAAACCACCTTAAAAGTGATTTGTGTTACCAAGATTACAGTAAAGACAATAAATTACAAACCAAATTGGCTGTCTTTTTCTGTATTATCATAAAAAACTTTCTAATTCCAATATCTGAAAAACCATCCCATTGAAGACAGAAAAATAATAATTTTTTTCAATTGTGAGGTCTTCAGGAAATATTTCTTTTTTCACTGCTGCTCTATAAAACTTCCAGGACCTAAGGTATAGCACAGTTGCAGCCTCAAAAACTATTTCTGCTTTTGTCTGAAGAACAAGAAAAGACTCTAGAACTGCAAATCAAGAGTGACATATTCAAGTATGGCTTTTTGTTGTTGCTGTTGTTGCAGCCAATGACAGTAAATATTTACACACTGGCTCACCCACACACACCCCCCCACTGGATAGTCCTGCTGTTCTGGGATTCCACTAGAGGAGGAATCTCAGAAGCATATGTTTATAATGCAATAATATAATAATGTAATGATTTTTGAAACCTTACAACTCAATTGCTCGGTGTATTAGATAAGTCAAAATCAATTTCCACATTTTTTCTAAGCCTTAATAATGGGAAAAGTTTCTTGTAGTAGCCCTCCCTCACTCTCTTGGAAGGTCTATGAATTAAACAGCAGCATCATGTGAATGTACAGTTCTACAACAAATGATGGATAGAAGCCAAGACTCAAGAAGGCTGAAGAATTTAGGAGATAAGGGCCTTTAATCTTTTCAACTTACATCTAAATGGATGGTAAGATGCTCTTGACTAACAACAAAAACCCTTTCTCCCTGTTATTGAGTAAGTTATTATTTCATATAACAAGGAATCCAGAAGTAGGGTACAATCCAAGTTTGGCCGAATGAATGACTCAGAGATTCAGAATATTTTTATCTCTGGCTTTGTTGTCCTCCAGAATGGTTTAACTCTGTTTTTCTCTTAGCTAAAACATGGTTGCCAGTGCTTATTGGGCTACAAATGTTCATCTTTATGTCCAGAAGAAGAAAAATCCTAGCCCTAACCAGTTTGATTTGGGCTAGTTGTATTATATGCACACCCTCAACCAGTAACAGTGGAAATAACTCAGAGTGTTCTAACCACAGACCCATCATGATCCAAAGGTGAGTATGGAGTCAGGGTTCTTTAAAGCATGTGGCTGTACTGAAGAGGACTTATTTATGGGGGAAATAGGATAGTAGTGTTGCATAGGCAACCAATGTTACTCGTGATTTTAAGACACAAAGATAATTTGCAAATGAGATCACAAGACAGCAACCTTCGAAACAACCAGAAGAGCACGAAATACTCAACACTGGAAAGAAAGTAACCACAAACAACAAACCAAAGACCTTGACATCAATTCTAATTCAAATCAAGCTTTGGTATTACAGCCTGGAGACAGCCAATCAGGCCACATCCCCCTCCCTTCAACAGCTGTGAGAGTCCTATGATCTCGCCCCCACGTCACCCCCACTCTTTTGCCCCAGTATTCCTAGGTCCTCTGACAAAAAGTAAGCACTTCTCTCCCACAATCCTTCCTCCCTACTCCATCATTCTTTTTCTTGGTTCTATAATTATAAGCAATCCTCCTAAAGCTTTTATGTCTTTCCCAAATGCTCTTTTCCCATTTTTGTTCCCAATCTGAGGTATTTGAAGAGGAACCAGCATTTTGTTCAGAGTATGTGTGTGTGTGTGTGTGTGTGTGTGTGTGTGTGTGTGTATGAAGGCTTGAACATGCCACGCTCTCTGTGCATATCTACACCCAACCCACTCTACTCTTCTGGTCCCTGATTTGGGTGTACCTGCAGCTCTACCAACTTGAGGCAAGCTAAAACCTGACTCCTTATCACTCCTTACACAATAAAGGGGAAAAAAGAAACAAATAGGGTGAAGTCGGAGGTGTAAACCTAGAGTTGCGCACAAGATTTGGCACTTAACTGGTAGTGTATAATCGAAACAAAGTAAACAGCAAGCATTGGGATCCCCCCACCCTGATTTAATAAGGCTAGATCCCTAGGGGAGCAAGAGAGATGAGACTGGAAATGAAAAGCAGGGGCTCTCTCTAGTGTGTTTTGTTTTATTTTGTTTTGGATTCTGAAATCAAACCTAAGGCCTTGCACATGGTAAACACATGTGAAGTAGGTACCACTGAGCTATACCCCCAGCCCTCTGATGCTTTTTTTTTAAAAAAAACCTACAACTAGTAATTTTGATTCATTAGACTTAGACTGTACTTAGATATTTTTTAAAGCTTTGCAGATGATTGTAATATGCAACTGGATTGAGAACTAATACCTTCCAGAAACATTGACGCCTTTCAAACAAGATGGATGATGATGGAGTCAGATTTTGGTGAGATAGCCCCCAAAGAAACTGTTTAGAATGGAAGGGGAAGGCCTGAGAAATGGTACAAGAGGTAGAGGCAACAGTGTCACGAAGACAAGAAAGAGACAAAGGCTATCAATGTCATATTCATTATTGAGGTCAAGATTCCTCCTGAAAGGCAGCGACTGAGTTTTTCTTATTAAATTATTTGCAAGAGTAACTTCAATTACCCACATCAGAATATTTAAGAGTCACCTGGTTTAAGAAGTGAATAGAGGGTAAAGAAGGGAGGGTGTCAGCTGGGCATGGTAGTACATGCCTGTCGTCCTAACTACTTGGGAGGCTAAGGCAAGAGGATCACAAGTTTCCAGCCAGCCCAGGCAACTTAGCAAGACCCTGTCTCAAATTAAAAAAAAAAAACAAATAAGAAGAAAGGATTGGAGATGTAGTTCAGAGTTTTGTAGGTTCAATCCCCAGTACTGGGGAAAAGAAAGAAGGAAGGCTACTAGGTTGTGAGGAGATGCGGGCTTGGGGGCTTTTATAATTTGGTGTGGAAGTGACTTGAGATGTTTATATGTTAAGATAAATGAATTTTTTTAACCAATTTCATGGATGAAAGAGATTTATGTGCTTTATATCACAGTAAGCCCAATATGAGTAGACTTTTTGACATCATCACTGCTATGGTCTCAGTGTTCATGTTTCCCCCAAACTTCACATGTTGAAATGCCAACCTTCAAAGTGATGATTTTAGAAGGCAGGGGTCTTTGGAAAGTGATTAGGTCATGAGGGCAGAACCATCATGAGTGGGATTTGTACCTGTGTTATTAGATTTCCCATCACTGGGACAACATCCCCTCCACCTACAATTTAAAGGTTTATTG